CTCTTTAGAAAGACAGACACGGAAATGACGAGATTCGCCGCAAAATGCAAATGTTTAACATTAACTCGAGTCACTATGCAACAATAAAATTTTCTCGTTGTTGAGAATCTATTGTTGACTCGTGCGATTGTTTAATGCGAGTGCTTTTTCTAGTTTTGCTTCGTTTGCAGCGATTGTTTAAAGTAATGTAAGTTTACACTATGATCTTTGTAGATTTAAATACTCTTTATCTTTGGTCAGCAAAATATCACAGTTGGCGGCGATGGGTTTCGATAAGAATTGAACGGTTTCCTTCTGAGGAAACGCATCTTTCCATTGTTAAAGCAAAATAAAAATTTATAAATAGCCTACTTTAAAATCTGTTATTTCCCGCTATAGTTTATAAATTACATACTTATATACTGTATATTAATATCCCATATGAAATTCGTCTGAATTAAAATAATTCGAGTTCATTCCTCTATTTTAGCAGTTGTTTTGTGTTACGGCAGTCAACAGAATAGTACAATTTTTATAAACTAATTCCTCAATCGAACATTAAAAATCGTCGAAAAGATTAAAATTATTTTATTATAATATTCTTTTCTAACAGGAATTAATCATTTTTGCATTAGAATAGGAATATTCATCAATTAATTCTCTCATTTTCCTTTGCAGAATGGAGAATTTCAGAGAATTGAAGAAGTTGCACATCTCGGACAATGCAGAGTCCGAGGATGACGCCTGGTCTTGGCCAGGTGTCATAAGGGTGCTTCCGAAAGATGCGGAGGAGAAGTGTCATACACCGGACGTCAAACGGGTGGTGGTCGTAACTCCGGACGACACCGCCTCGTCTCTCGTCCAATATCTGGAGGGGCGATATCCGGAGGTTCCGGAATGGACGGTGGAGACCGCACTGGATAGAAAGGAGTCCGAAGAAATGGTGGTAGAGTCCGCCGAGCGTAAAAGGCCTTGGTGGAAAAGGTTGTTTTGCTGCTGGAAGACATAAACCTCTTCTCTGGCCAGGCCTTCTTGCGCAGATTTCGACTTTTCACCGAATGTAACATCGCCATTCGGAAGTGACCTTTCACCCGAATATGACATTTACCAGGAATTGATCTTCCACCCGGCTACGACTTAATCGACTGGACTTGACTTTTTATCCCAATTTACGGACGGATACTTCGACACCATTCGAGATTCTGTTAAAGAGCATATAGAACAACGACAGTGACATCAAACAGTGTTCTCGTGTTTAATTAAAGACTGTTTAAACGGCTATAACTGGCCAAAACAACTTATATTCTACAGACATTTACACTGTATTTCATCCGGTGTTCTACTGCTAAAAACTTTCACCGCGAAATAACGAATATTCGCCACTAAAAGGCATACCGAACGAATTTAAATAAACCAATAAATACACGTACTTCGGTTTGTGTACTCCACAATCATAATTACTTCAACGATTAAATGTGTACATAAATTTTTATATTTAATAAAACTAATTAAATTTTATATTAAATGTTTACGGATTCTATATTTATTAAAGTTGCGCATTTTTTGATGAATTTATAATTAATAATAATGTTTATAACAGTTATGTCGGATGACGAAAACAGAAAAAATGTACCCGATTCATAACGAAAGAAAAATATTTAAATTTAATGAGCCAAATATAATTTTAAACAGTTGCAAGTTTGTAGCAAAACAATAGCATGAAAAATGAAATTTCATAAAAATAAAAGACAAGTTTAACGAAATATTCAGTCCCAACGACCCTTATATATTTTAATACCTTTCCAAGTGGGGCTATAGCGCATTAAATCCGAATCTGAAGGAGAAGCTGCGCTTGGAACTTCCGCCGGGGGTGGCGGAACAACCGACGTCACTAACCGATCGTAAAGATCGGGTTTGATCAAGCAATATAGAACCAATCCTACAAATACCATTACGGAACCTACAGTAAGGAAGACGATGGATACAACCATGTGCACTTCTAATGCCATGTTGATCTTTTTGGAAATAAATAAATAAATAACCTAAATATACTACATTTAAAAGAGAAAAATTAAAATGTTTTTCTACAGTAGCTGCCTACGAGTGGCTAATGGATGGAATTAGAGACGGTCCTGGTAAGTGCATGCACGCGGGCTGCCAAATCCCCAGGGTGCCGATACCGGTCAATGTCAAATGTAGCAAAGTTCTGACCCAATTAGCATTATTGTTTCGAAACATGTTGAATTCCGTTTTGAAAGCATCGGAAAAGTAGAGTAAACATATCGAAACGTTACAAAGCGTCAAAACTCTGCTTCACACACGTGTGGCGAAATTCTGCTTCGCCGCACGTGTGTGAAGCAGAGTTTCTGTTCTAAATTCAAAGCAAAAGAAGTTTCTGAATAATACTGTCGCTGTCGTTTTCAATTGCATAAAAGATGACAGGGGAGAAGAAACAAATACCCCACCGAGATTTGAACTCGGAGTGCTAACCATTACACCATGGGACCTCATACAGATTCGCGTGTCGGATATCACCTTAATGCATTGCAGATTGCCTTATCGACTATAGCGAAAAGATATCGCCGATAATTGAAATCTGTCCGTCTATAGTTTATCGTTAAAAAGCGTAGCTGTTGCCACAAATCTGTCGGGAAGAGAATGATGGTTGCGGTCGGTGGACGTGGTAAAAAAGAGTTTAAGAAACGTGTTTCGTTTCGTCGTGCGGAAAGCAAACGAATCGTAAATTGTCGATGGTTGTCCGTGATCGGTGTGTAAATAATGGAATCATTAACTATCCTGTCCCTAGTATGAAAGATATGAGAGAGATTTTACAAAGATAATATATTACCTCATTCATAATGTGATTGATAACAATTCTGCACTTTGGGCGGATTTTTCGACCCGTTCGGATTCGAACCCGGGTCCTTCAGAGTGGTAGGCTGCCACCTTGACCACTCCGGCCTCAACCTAGCAATACTGTAATTCACTGGACCCCACAACTTGCAGTTTAGATTTGAGAGCTGTACAAAGAAAACAAGATAATAATGAAGTCAGAAATTACCAAATACCACTACACACGCCAGGGGCGGATCATCACTTAGACAAACGTCTAGGGCCCGGTTAAACCGTTTAGTTTGAAAGATATTGATAAAATTGATAAATGTTTCTAGAATATTTTATCTCAAAATATTCAGAATCTCACAATTACATATTAATTCCATGCTTCTTTGCTGAAATGAGTGAAAAGTTCTCTTATTAACTCCAATAAAATGAACTAGATTTTTACACGTTACTTTTAGAACGCGTAGTACGGGTAACCCCCGTATAACACGGCACTTCTATAGCACGGATTCGCTCTAACACGGTTCGAGAATTGGTACCATCCCCCGTATAACACGGTACTTTTATAGCACGGATTCACTCTGACACGGTTCGAGAATTGGGTAAAACCCTCGTACAACAGGAAATGTAATAAATTTTTACATACTTAAGTAATAATAGTTCACGAAAATTATTATTTTCGTGAAGTATTAGTACTTCAGTATGTAAATTTTTTTTCTCACCTCCATATACATGTTCCTTCGCGAAAATTGTTTCAATTTTGCCAGATCTCGACGCTTCTGCTTCTGGTGTTGCCAGATGTTTCTCCCTTATTTCATAAGTGCTTAGCACCATATAAGGAAATTTATAAAGACCTTTTAACTAGAAGCGAGCAATCTAAAATTACATACATTTTGCAAAAGGTAAAGCATGGATCTGAAGATAAGCAGAAAAATGCTCATAGGATAAGGATAACTTGCCAAAAAAAAAACGCTCTCGGTTAATTAATAGTGTTTTTAGTGATGACGAAGAAAACATTGTTTAATTTATATTAATATGTATCACTTAAAAAAATTTGAATGAAGATATTTATCTTAATTATGAAAATATACTAGCATTATTTTTAATTTTTGGAACCTAACCTTCCTTTTCGTATTAGTTCTTTGTTTCGTATAACACGGATTCGCATAACACGGCAATTTTTTGGAACGTAACTACCGTGTTATACGGGGGTTACCTGTATTACCATTACCTATTAACCATGGCATCCAAGAAGAATCTGGAAGCAAAGACGTTTAACAGAAGAGTTATAGAATCGAGTATTGAGGAAATACCGTGTTTCCCCGAAAATAAGACATCCTCAGAAAATAAGACAGCACAGGTTTTGCTGAATTGCGAAATATAAGACCTCCCCCTGAAAGTAAGACCTAGCAAAATTTTTTTAGTCGTAACGGTCATCGACAGATGGTTAAAAGTGGCCGTTGCCTTTTTGAAAGTACAGCCACTGATTGGCCAGCAGACAATCATGCCACACGACATGATTTGCATAAGACTATGGCTTGGGAATCACAGATTTGCATAACGTTACGGCTGGTGATCGCTAATTGATCGGCCGGGAATCACACCCATCACATTTGCATAGTGCTACGGTTCAGTAAGCACTAATTGGTCATCGAGCCTGATGTCGACGCTATGAAAAGGTTAAGTTGAAGCGAGAGTGGGAAGTCCACTCCAGCATATCGAAATCTTGCAGCGTTTTGTTCACCGTACCAACCGTTTTACCTAATTTCAAGGCGGAGTGATTCGGAGAAAAGCCAGTAGGCTAGAGTCTCCATATTAATAGGAAAGAAAGAAAGAAAGTCCACTCCAGCACGAGAACTTCGTAAGTTGAGTTCGACACGACCGGATATACGTCACTCTAGTTTAAGTTAGACTTGGAAATTTTTTTGTTCAACAATAAATGTGAATTCTTCTTCATGGAAAAATAAGACATCCCCTGAAAATAAGACCTAGCGCATCTTTGAGAGCAAAAATTAATATAAGACACTGTCTTATTTTCGGGGAAACACGGTAAAAACTTATCGTGAAGCAGGAATGCGGTACACAATGTGGCAGATGTTTTTAATAACAACGAAGCAATAACACAGCTAATGTGTCTAAAGGTGCAACAAAATTATCCTCAGACAGAATGCATGCTATTAAGCAATGGAAAAACTTCGTGTGTGTATAAGACAAATGCAAATAGGATGATTTATATATCATCGGATGATGTATGTCTGAATGGATCATTTGTGAGAAAACTAATCAAGCTACATAAAAACGAGACATTTTTATTTTAAATAAGTTAGGTATTTCATTTCATGTTTTCGGTTTTAAATTTATTATTTAGAACATTTCATTGTGTTATTTTAATTTCTGATTTTGGGGTGAATTAAAGTAAAACTCGAAACTTCCTTTCATACAACTGATACAAAACATTTTCATCTTCTTATACAATAGGAGATATCGAAATTACAACAACGAGAACATATATCATAAAAACTCTTTCTCACAATTCCAGAAATTCTTTATTTCCGTAACATTACTAACAAAATAACTATTAATTTCAAATGAAAAACAAACCATTTTAATAAAATCTCAAAACAAATTTCAAAGAAATATATATTAATGAAATTGGGAATTATCTTATTCCTTCCAAGTGCGAAACTTTTAAATTTATATTAATTAAGATTCTGTCTGCTATGTCTTCTGATGTGAGCATTCAAATTGTATTTGCGAGATAACTTTCGTAAACAATAATTGCACTTAAATGGCTTTTCTCCGGTGTGAATGAGAAGATGTCTTTTTAGATCTTGTCTCTGTACGAAGTTTCGCTTGCAGTGGTGGCAGGTAAAAGGTTTCTGTCCGATATGAAACCTCAGATGCGTTCGTAAATGGGAAGCTTGAGTGAATTTTTTATCACATAACTGGCAACAGAATGGCTTTTCTCCCGTGTGAATTCTTCTATGAGTTTCAAACTTTGACTTCCTGCAAAACTCTTTCCCACAATTTTCACAGACAAACTTCTTTTTCCTCTTCTTTAAACTTTGGCTGGCGAAACCTACGAGACACCAAATATTAAACTTCAATGTTAACGTTTAAAAGTAATCGATTATTATTAAGTACTGCAAAGAAACGCAGAAACAATTACTTCTGCGTTTCTTGGCAGCAATTGCTTTACAATATCTTAAAAAATAAATCTAAGTTTAATCAATATGAATAAGATTTGACAGAAACAACTCCGTGTTTGCTTTCGAAAAAAGTTCAAAACAATTGTTTATAACAATATTTTCGTTTTCCGTTGTCAAAACTGTTCAAAAAGTTTATTAATCAACACAATCTTCACAGTATATTTGGTAAAAGGTAAACATTTTTCATTTCAAATCCATTTCTTCACAAGTAAATATTCATTCCTTTCTTCTAAACTTGTCCGAAACTTTTCAAGAGAAATGTTGGGTGCCTCCAAGATATATCTTAAAGACAAATGTACAAATTAAATAGTAAGAGATAATGTTTAATTTTCCTGTCAATTAAAAAATATTTGAAATCCTTAACACGAATCAATTTTAAATATACAAACGATCTTTCGCAATACTTAAACGAGTGTTTGAAATCTGAAAAAACAAATGAGGTCCAGTTGTTGATTTTTATTAATAAGCCAAAATAAAATGATGTCGCCATCTGAGATTTTCGGTAAGTTAACACCAAGTGGCTACTTCTCTGGTTCAAAAAGAACGATTGATCCTACGATACCGCCAAAATGTAAATCACCACCTTTCAGTCACGTCCTGAGGTACAGAAAAAAACGGAAATTTTGGATTATTTCCTACTTTAAATTCAGTAAATTTATGAAATTCATTTATATATTCACTAGATTATCGAATAAAATAGTACGTAATTCGAATGACAAACGAATATTTACTTGGAAGCATCCCATTTCTTGTATTGAAGTTTGTTATCAGCACTTTCTTTCAATTAAAAATAAAAAGAAAAACAACGTCCATTCGGCTTAATTAATAGTTTCTAAACTTTTTTTTTTAATTTTGCTGATAAATAGTGTTTTAAACGTAATGAAAATAAAAAGAAATTACATTATTAATTTGTTTACGAGACATTTGATTTAAAAAGAACCTACCTTTCCTCCATTTTAAACCTTCGCCTTTGGAAAATTCGTTGGATTCAAACGGTCGTCCATCCGCGATAATCTCGAAGACTTCAAGAATATTTTTTCAATTTTAAATTATAAATTCGAGTAAATATAAATTTTAAAATTTATTTCAGAAATAAATAATAAATAATTTTAAACTGTTATCATTAATATAATATTTTCAAATTATAAATAACGCGTCGAACTGAAGTGACGTCGAAAAAGATTTATAAAACAATAAAGCAAAATCATTTATAGTAAGTGTTAATGATTACGTTTATTTTACATTAATGCGAGAATCTGGAGTTGGGAGATTACGTTATTGACAAATTTATTTTAAATAATTGTTAAAACTTTAATAGAAATTTTATCTGTCACGAGATTTAGAAAAGCTGGAAAAGAAACTTATTATAAGATTTTTTTATGTAAACAAATCGTATGAAGTCTTTNGGGAAGGTAGTCTTTAACTATTAAAATAAAATACTCGCAAATATTTTTATAAATTTATTTTGTATAATTTTACAATTTCTACGAAAACGGGACAAATTAATAATTAATCCGAACCATGAATTTAAAAACCGGTATGGTGGCAACACTAGTCGCTAATCTCCCATGATGCAGCATTTTTACGCGAGCAAAGGTTGTGTAGTTTGCGGCTGCTTCGTGCTCGCGTAGCTTACCTAGCAAAAATGGCTCATAGCATCATGGGAAATAAGGCGGGGCTTAGGAGCGCGAGCGAGCGTACGCTTTCTCTCGCATCCTGTAGTTTGCGGCGGCTCTAAGGATTCGTCTCGCTTAACAATTGGATTTAGCAAATTTAAGTCAAAAAATAACTTTAAAAAAGCGAGTGGATCGATGATATTGATAGTGAATCGACAACTCAGATTGACTCTCAAAGAAACTCGGAGGAGGCAGAGAAGGATTGTTTTTTATTAATTATTCTAACATCGAACGAACTTACTTGTAACTACTAAGGCGTAGAATAAGCTAAAATTTATAACTACTGTATCCAATTTTACATTATCAAGGAATTTGAATTAAGTTTAGTGTAAATAGATTAGAATTTAACAAATTAGTTATCATTATATTAATTAGAAAATTCTCCGGCTGTAACAATTTTACTTTATAAATATTTTTACTTTAATATTGCGCATCAGATGTAATGACTAACATACAAAACCGTGTAAGATTTAAAACTGTGCTTTATTAATCATTATTAACACCAATAATATTGAGTAAATACATGAATTTTGACATACATAGTGAATCCGAATAAAGCGTAATCAAAAATGATCGTGATAACAATAAGATAATAACAGTTATAATCCTGACAAAAAGAAAAAAAATATTACAGTCTTTAATAAATGTTTACATTTTATCAATTTATTGTAACTGTTTTCGTGTACAATAGATAGTGCTACTATTTGTTCGCAATGTTACGAAGTTGCACTGGATCGAGAGACAAGTAAGCATAATTCACAATCCAGCTTGACAGCAATAACTTCCAAAATGAATGTATCTGTCTAAAACCAAAATTCTACTGATGACAAGAAATATGCTTACTTTAAGTTTTCTGTTACAAGATATTTCAAGCGTTCAGATTTCTTATGTTTTTTAGCAGTGCTGATTTCCTTTTTAGGCGACATTGGCAAAGACTTATGAGTAAACCAGAAACAAGCTCAGTTACCAATTGCATAGAATATTTTAAACTTTTATTTGCTCCCCGTATTATGAACACTGTATTACTATTCCTCAATTGAATACTACGTGCAAACTGACAACGTCTAATTATTAAATCTCCAAGGCTATGTATCATACATATCGCTGACAGAAGCATTAATGTGTGGGTGTACAGTACATACAGGTAAAAAATACTTAGAATCGGCTCTGTGTTGCAGTAAATCGATTCTCATTAACCAGGGAGGTTCAGCAAATTTTCCACCTCAGATAGACTCGATTGTGTTTTATTTAATGCCATTTATTTTAAAAAATTACAAGAAACGGTTNATAAAACAATAAAGCAAAATCATTTATAGTAAGTGTTAATGATTACGTTTATTTTACATTAATGCGAGAATCTGGAGTTGGGAGATTACGTTATTGACAAATTTATTTTAAATAATTGTTAAAACTTTGATAGAAATTTTATCTGTCACGAGATTTAGAAAAGCTGGAAAAGAAACTTATTATAAGATTTTTTTATGACGTTTATTTTACATTAATGCGAGAATCTGGAGTTGGGAGATTACGTTATTGACAAATTTATTTTAAATAATTGTTAAAACTTTAATAGAAATTTTATCTGTCACGAGATTTAGAAAAGCTGGAAAAGAAACTTATTATAAGATTTTTTTATGTAAACAAATCGTATGAAGTCTTTCGGACGTTAAAGTTAGCAACTTCGATGACGTGCGGAGCCATCAATGAATGTCATTACATCGATAGACAATTAAAAATTAGAATTGTGAATATATCCGCGCTATCAAATATAAATACCATAAGTCAGCTGTTGCTTTACATTATAACACCTAAAATTGTGAAATTAATACAAATAGTGTAGAAGTTCTAAGAAAGTAATTTAATTTTGAGAGAGTTAAAAAAACATTTAGATATTAAGAAAATTCCTAGAAAACAAAAAATATATGTTAATCGAGGGCTTGAAATTTCGACGGTCTGGGACACAATACTTTTTAATTAACTACCGGTAGATACAGCTCATCTTTTATCCCTCAGTTAAAACGAGAACCTATCGACGTTTCTCCGAGTAAAAAATTATGACAATCTATTTTGTTTGTTAGGAATTTTTCTTTGGTAAAAATAAGTTTGGCACCTCAAAGCGAAGTGCAAAAAACCAAGTAAAAATCTTGTGGGTACCGTGTCGTGGCGCAGTTGAAGTTTGGACACGAATATAACCAATTCACTTATGGCGTGTTGAAAGCGTTTGCTTTCGAAGCACCGTAGAATAAAGCCAGATTGTTCAAAAACTGATATAAATTAAACATATGAAGCCCTCAATTGATCTAAGCGTACTTGGCGGCAGTTTCTGTACCTGAAAACTTTACAGGTAAGTTTTTGGAGATGATAAAATATTCCGTACTTTTTGAACGTGATTTCAAGTATTCTAAATTTTTCGTACGCCATTTATTAAATGTATTTCACTCTTTATAACCGTATTTAGAAATTAATATTTTTAGTTGAAAATATACAGTAGTTTAAAAAAATCCAGCCGCGAGTTAATTAACTTTCCTGCAACCTGTGGTGCAGACCTCTGTTACGATATTTTATTAAAACACTTTTTACACTTTTAACTATTAGGGGAGATCCTTCTACTTTGGGACACTTTTCTTTAAACCTTTATAGTTTAAGTTCAAATTGATCTTTTGCTATGACTATTGAATATTTCTATTAGTAATTGACCCTATGCTATTTTATTTATGAGAAAATGTCAATTAATTACTTGCAGATATTTGTCCCAAGGTACAATCATTGATTGTACCTCGGGACACCAATGTTTGTACCTTGGGACACGAACAATTCTAACGTTTTTGTAAATCTTAACTTCCGCCAGATAAAAAAAAAATAGTTTATCCAAGTCTTTTCCTTTATAACAATATTAGCTTTATCAGTTAACAAAAATGTTTTATATGCTGGAAATGCAGGTAAGTACAAAGCTTAAATGTTCTGTAAAAGGCATTTAAATGATTGAAAACCAAAGATAATCTCATTTTAGTATTAAGAAAAAGAATAGTCATTACAAATGTAGGTCACAAATATTACTACTGTAATTACTAATTTTTTTAGAATTAATATCGCATTTCTGACAGTAATTTTCGAAAAAAGGTGCAATCTTCGCGCACCCGGAATCGACAGGTAACGCATTGAATCCAGTCTTCTGTGCTCGAAGTACAGTAGTAAAATAATTTTCACCGCATCCTACACAATTATTTTACTCTTGAACTTCATCACATGAGTCGTAAGTCTCTAAGATCCTCACAGAAATTTCATTGATTCAAATTTCTAAGATCCTCAGAGCTACTAACTTCAACTTTTTTTCTTCTAAAAACTTCCTTTTTTACAAATTTAACATTTTTATTCACTTCATTCCTTTTCTTCGCGGCCAACAGAAACATAATAACAAAAATAAACATAATAATATTGAATAAATAGTTGAGAAAAGCAACGCCTTGTACCTTGGGACAGTCCCAAGGTACAAAAAATTCACTGTCCCAAGGTACAATGTTCTCTTGTTTATAACAAAGTATGGTTATAATTTTTGAATTACAGAAATCCAATGTTATTTATTAAAATAAGTGGTAACCACTTATTTTAATAAATAACATTGGATTTCTGTAATTCAAAAATTACAGAAATCCTAACGTTTTTGTAAATCTTAACTTCCGCCAGATGAAAAAAAATAGTTTATGTTACGAATGTGGTTATCAACTAACTGTACCTTAATTAAATTACTCACCTCAAAATATTTCGATTAAAACCAAGATCCAAATGCATTGCAAAAAAACAAACACCTATAAAAATCACACAACGTGTCACAGCGGTAAAACTAGTCAAAATGGCCGACTTTACGTCATGCATCCTGAATGCTGTAATGAAATAGCTACTAGATATCGCTACTTACTACTTCTCAATATATTATTTTTCAAATGACGAGCTTGTCCCATTAGGTACAAGGATCTCCCCTATATAGTAAAAAAAGCTTAATTTTTAGCTTAATGTCGTCTACCTGTCTTTCCTTTATCTCGAGAAGAGAGTTTGATAGATAAAAGCCGAGATCAGGTATGGAAAGATTAGCGACATTAGGCCC